CAGACAGACAGACAGACAGACAGACAGACAGACAGACAGACAGACAGACAGACAGGCAGACAGACAGACGGGATGGAGAGGTAACTGATTGGATGAGCTAAACATTCTGCTTTTGAAAAGGTACTACATCCCGTGCTCAGTTGGACAAGACATCACGTCTTACTTGTCTTTGGTAAATTCCTTCATATGCGGTGAGCCAAAATACGTGACGTTTTCTTCCGTGACATATACGGGCACGTGACATCCGATAGAGCTGAGCACTTGATTGATCCACGCCCCGGCAGTGACGATGACCTTCTTGCACGTGAAATCACCCAGAGGAGTGGACACCTTGATGGGAAAAAGAGTTGAAAAAAATTATGTCTATACTGAAAATAGTGATCTACAGCAAGAGATTATGATAATTATTATAAAATAGTGCAAGAGCTCAAGGCAATGACGTCACCCACGTAAACGAACGAGGGCTGCGTGTGCTTACTCTGGGGCGCTTAGCGTCAATGGATAGAACAACAAAATAATGGCGAGCTCTTTCAATTTTCTTGTTTTACATTGTTTATATCTTGAAAGTTCGAATTAAAATGAAATTCGTCAGACAGAAATGATGATGTGTTTAAAGTTTGAATGGTGGTAAGAGAGTGCCACTGATAAGATCTAGATATATATAAGTCTCTACTCTTTTTTCACCATGACTATTTATCTCTCTCGCTCTATTCCAAGCACTAATAAACGTCGGCCATTATTTAATTCTAAAGTAAACAAAAATCTCTCGAAATTCTGACTAAGAAGAGTTCAATGTTCTTAAAACGCCTTTTTAGAAAGTATTTGAGCCTCAACGGGTTTCGAGTCTTGAACTTCTGCGTGTGCAATATATCATTACAACAGCAGTGCGACGATAGTTTGTGGGTGCTTTGATGTGGTCAGCTCTTACTCGTATTTCTTTGAGGTGTTACCAGAGAGGTTATAAATAGTACTTTATAACCTCTCCGGGTGTTACTTTTATTCTATTTCCCGCGGGCACAATGTCACTGGTATTAGGCATAGCGTGTTGGCTCGTGGTAAACTGCAACTAAATCCTGCAGCAGTTGGCATACGGCTGAGAATCACGCTTCGTGGGTAAAGTAGTTGCCTTGATTGACTACTGTAATGAATGCTAACGTTGTACGTGCCCATCTGCACAAATTAGGTCATTTAGAAGCGTGCAGCTTCGAGCCTGACTGTCAGGATCAAGGCATTGTTAGTTCCGGTATTCTCGGCAGGGTGAACTGGACGGAATGCGATATCACATCCCAGCAGACAGATGACGTTACTCGATAGAGTAGTATGTGGCATAGTGGTGAAATCAGGCGCTAGTCGAAAGAGTAAAATAGATTAAACCGGCATTTTTCTGATCGTTCGGCCATTATTCTCATCTCGCTACACCTTTCTGCGTAGATTTTCCAGAGAAACAGTAATTTCCAGGTACACTCCACTCCAGTTTTGGAAATCACCAAATTGTAGCGACCATTTTCATGCTACTTTGTACATCCGACGCCAGGCGAACCCACGCCCCCTTCAATGGCAAATATCTCGAGTTATATATTTTTTTAGAAATAGCAGTGTATTTTTTTATATCTAAAGCAAAATAAAATAAATAAGCTTTAAGATGTTATCAGTAACAAAAATTGGCGAGAGCCTGTTTCCACCGTGTCGTGACACAAACATAGACTCACCAACGCGAGGGTCGAACTCCCCGGTATTTTCCTCGCAACAGCGGAGAGCTAACCATTATCTTACAGAAATCGATATTGTTGCAGTACGGTGAGCCGAAACCAACAATTGTGCTAGCTTTAATTAAAGGAATCGGAATTACTAGCCATGTTCCAGGAATTCTTACTCCAAGAACTTGAAGATTATTGATTTCAAAAGTGCGAGCGATAGCGTGTCAGCATTAGAAACTTGCTTTTATCTAAAGAAAGAACATACACTTCTACTGAAAACAAAACATTTGTGTGTGTAATTTTTTTAACTTTGATTACAATGGAAAAATGCACTTCAACTGAAAACAAAACTTTTGTGAATAATGTTTAAATATTTTGATCAGAATCAAAACAAAACAAAGCCTATATATATAGATATATATGCAGATCTGGCATCTTCCTTTTTGCTTGGGATTCGAACCTGAGTAGGGCCCAGACTTATTTCTTTTTCTATTCAGGACGTTCGATGAGAGGACAAAAGCTCAGACTAGTGTCACCTACGTCTTTTTTTTTCAGGATCGAACAAAACATGACGCGAGCGGCGCAGAGTTATAAATAGATCACTGTCCTATGAACAGGGGCCCCAATTTCCCAGCTTGACGAAAACTGCTCTAGCAAGAAATGTATCTCATTTGGCACACAGTGCTGACTCTGCCTTCGAAATAACCTTGTTTTGTCAAATAAGCGTCGAAACAACAGGGAATCATCATTGTGTTGTCTCGTTGTGGGAGTGTAGACGAAAAAAGGGGAAGGGGGGGCACTTACTTGTATGTATCATTTCTTGATCATCCAGCTCTTCTCGTTTATCAGTCTTTCTTGTTTTCTACCAGCATTAAATGGTAGTACATCAAGGTGCGTCTCTTTTTTTTAAAGTCAGGTAAACAAGCAAAATACTACATACAGACTTCCGCTAACATCGATTACAATTCACCAAACCTCTTGACCATACAGCTTATCAATGCCCTCGTTCAAGAATTACCTTCAGGGGCTCGGGTGAACGGAGAATACCACTGCTAGGTCCTGCTTTGATTCTTTCTCTACGTTGTTTCTGTGTGCCTGTATCTTTCCGAGCGCTAAATGGTGGTAAATGTTTTGATCTGCTTCTCTTTACTCAAACAAACAAACAAACAAACAAACAAACAAGTAAACAAACAAACCGTGATGAGTCCATTTGAAGCTTTGGCGACTCTGTTGACCGGACAGTTGTCCAGCACTTTCGCCCCTCGTCCCTGAGCTAACTGCACGTGCAGCGCGTTACCGAGGGCTGCGTCCACCAACCCGGCGTCTTTCTGGAAAGTGGCCTGGAACTCGGGACCCACTGTGAACTGTCGAAAAAGAAATGAAGGCTGTCGGGTAACTGTTCATAAGCTGTTGTTGGTTTTTGTTGTTGTTGTTGTCATAAAGACGCAGTTGCGTGGGTTTCACAACTCTTTCAACATTATATGGTTGTTTAATACTGTAAGGTTGTTTAACAATGTAAGGTTGTTTATTCTCATTGTAAAGTTGTTTAACGCCATCGAGTTCATTGCACTTGAAATTGAGTAAGAAGACGGACCGAAGGAATCTGCATTCCTAGATCTACATAAAATCTCACGTGGACGACGAAAATAATAATATCGTTAGTGTATAAGTATAAGCAAGCCATTCCGGTAATTTAAGACAAGCAATTAAATAGTCATCACGAAATAATCATACCTCCAGCTTGCCACTTCAAAAGATAAGGGCATGAGAAGAGGGGGAGGAATGATAGAAGCTTTGTTGGTTTATTTTTTTTATTTATTTATTCATCATTTATTTATGTATTTATGTATTTTAAGTATTTATTCGGGGGGGGGCATCATATTTAGACGAAAGACAACCCTACCTGAGGATATCTTTCCATCAACTGTTTGTTATCCCATGTCTCGAAAGGGATGTTCGCTCGTCTCATCGCAGCTTCATATTTCTCCATGACATGGTCCGTCTTTCCTCTTTCAGCTAATGTCACACCGCCAGGCTTGTACACCACCTGCATGCCCGACTCCTCCTCCACAGCCTCCCAGCTAAGAGAAAAAAATAAAGTTGAAATAAACTCACCGTTTTCAGAACAATTATGGTGGACAGATTATCTATCTATCTATCTATCTATCTATCTATCTATCTATCTATCTATCTATCTGTCTGTCTGTCTGTCTGTCTGTCTGTCTGTCTGTCTGTCTGTCTGTCTGTCTATCTATCTATCTATCTATCTTATCTATCTATCAGAGAAAAAATCTGCAGAAACGACCTTGGCATTCTTAAAAGATTGACATAGCCGATAGGTAGGTAAGTATGCATGTATGTATGTATGTATACATGTACGTATGTATGTATGTATGTAGGTAGGTAGATAGGTAGGTGGGTGGGTAGGTAGGTAGATAGGTAGGTAGGTAGGTAGGTAGGTGGGTGGGTGGGTGGGTGGGAAGGTAGGTAGGTAGGTAGGTAGGTAGGTAGGTAGGTAGGTAGGTAAGTAGGTAGGTAGGTAGGTAGGTAGGTAGGTAGGTAGGTAGGTAGGTAGGTAGGTAGAAAGCTAGACTGGCTCGTAGCTAGTTGGGTAAGTGTAGGTTAGTAAATTATCTACATATTTCATTACATGCACTTTATCCAACACAAAAGCGAACACCTGTCTACCTGTAATAAGCGAATTACAAAAATAACAACAACAAAAGAAATATATCAGCAGGCTGATAATAGGCGATGTGCAACTCCTTTCATGATTTGATAATGAAGTAACAGACTTAAACATTTTTAAACCATACTCAATTTTACATGGACGATTTCAAGCGTTAACCATCTTTCTTTCAAATCCTGAATGGATGATGTGTCCCACCCGGCCTGTATTGGCTTTTATAGATAAAGTCGAAGCAGCCCGCCTCCTAAACGATCTCAATTGTGTCAATGGGGGCGTAAAACACATACAATGTATAACATTTGTCGTTCTCTTTTCTTTACCGCATCCCCATGGCCTGTGGACTCTGCCTTCGATGTGACCTATGGCACAAGTTAATCCTGGTGTTTAGTTCAGTTTGAAAACAAAAAAGAGAACAAAACAATTACAGATACGTCTTACCATGTAAAGGTATGTGGTGTGAGCTTGAGGTACCTGTCGTCAGGGTAAGTCAGTCGACTGGAAGATTAGGAAATAATCAACAGATTCAATATTGGTGACAGTGTGAGAGTATACGTATACGCGCATATATCTATGATTATGTTCATATTATTAGGTTTAACAAAAACCATACAATGTACATTTTATTATATTATGCTCCACACATTTATGTTGTGTGATGGAGAAATAAAAAGAGGAAGAAGTAAATTCATCACCCTAATAATTATGTCGACTTAATGGACATTCATATCACGTTTTAAAAATACAAGAAAGGTAATAGCGTAAGCAAATAAGTAGACAAAACGAATACGTATATACGTATATACTTATTTTATAGAGGAATTGATCTAGGCATTGAAAAGTTGGAGCGCCTTGCCGACATTCCATAAAGAGAAGCACACAGCTATGATACAAAGACATAACATTTATAGCCCACCGCATGCGCCAGTATCGTTTACATAATTATTATGTATTCTTTTTTAAGAACCTAAAATATAAAAGTCATATGAGTTGAGGCTTGGAAAAAAAGTTTCCAGCGTCGGCTTCTTATGGTCCCCATCATACTACATTTGCAAATTGTAGAT